TAAAAATTTTAAATAGTCATTATATTATAAATAGAAATAATAATTTTTATTTAGTAGTCTACTATAATTTTTTTTATATAAAAATATTTTTTTTACTTCAAAACCTCATGTTATTAAATAATAAATTAAAATATAATGTTTATTCTATTTTTGTAAGAACATTTTCGTTATTTAGTTTCTTGTTATATCGATACTGACAGCTAAAATAAAAGTTTCGTCACTTCTGCCAGATTTAATAAAGGAAATCTTTAAGCTGTGTTGAATAATTTTTTTAAAAAAATGTAAGCGTAGTTAAATAATAAATAGAGATAAATATATTTATATATATATAAATATAAAACTTACAGTAAAAAAATAAATAAATAAACCAAATCTTAAAATGATAAAATTTTATTTTTTCGTGTAGCTTCTATTTTTTAGGTCATATCTTGTTATATAAATTTTCTTATAAAATTTTTATTCCTTGTAACCTAGTTTTGTTTAATTCCCTCGTAAATATATCAGAAATTGATTTTCAACAGTTTTTCGATAATATTTAATTGCTTTTTTAAAATATAAAATATCCAAGAGTAACTTAAAATTAATATTATTTATTCAAAATGTTCAAAATTTATGCAGCAATATTTTTCTGTTAGGATATACGTAAGTAGAATATCTGAGTATTTTTACTTGATAAATTTTGTAGAAATGTTAAAATACCATGTTCTATTCTAAAGTAAAATATATAAAGAAAAATTAATTTTAAAAATTTGTTTCTCAATCTACTTATTACTTGGTGTTATTAATTATAATAAATTAACTTTTTATTATATCCCAATTCTTTTGTATTCTGTGAAAACAATCAAAATTTTAGATGAAATTTAAGGAAAATATTCTTATTCAATGTGATTTAAACAATTAATATATAAGTAAGTTTATGTTAATCTGTAAAATTAATATTTAATGATTATACACAACTATTATATATTTAAATGTTATATTTTTTCTTATTCTACTCTCAGATGGAAGGGATTAACACTTATGTAATAAAGAATTAAGCTGAATTATTAATTAAACTAAAGCACTGTAAATTAAATTTCAAAAAGATTTTAATTTATTTTAATATAAACGAATTTATTTATTTACTTTTTCTCTTCTAAATTAAATATATCCGAAAGGAAAGTAAATTATAAATTTACATACTTCGAAATTAAAAAAATAAATAAAATATCGACTCGTAATTTTTAATAAGATTAACGTATTTTTAATCATTTTCACCAAACGAAGCTAATAATATAAAAATCATTCATTCCTTTACGCCAGACTCATTATCATCAGCAAATTACTTGCTAATCATCTACTCTCTTTTAAATAGAGTAGCTGAAGCGCACCATCTTTATTAATTATAAAAGATCATTTTTATTCATCTTACTTTTATATACTTCCTTACATTAAAACATTTTTGGGGTTTAAACAAGAAAAAGTAACATTATAGAACACTTGATTTAAGCCGGAACATTTACTCTTTATTATATAATAGTCTGAGACTACTTTAAAATTCCGTTACTTAACTAATTTGTAAATGAATTTAAGTACTGTTTCTCGTTATAAAATTTAATGGTAGATGCGAGACAAAAATTTCTACTTCGAGTTAATTTACTGAATAATAAATAAGTGCAAAATCCGAAATTCTAATCTAAAAAATTGATTCTAAACTCGTATATTCTATTCTCTATTAATAAATAATACAAACCTTTCATTATTCTGACTTGGCAAACATAGGTTTCTGCTATATTTAGGACATTGGAGGAAAAAAAAATTTAAAAAGACTTTATAAACACACATACACACAACACAATACAACAAACTCACACACATATTTAATGTAAGAAATATTAAATCGTTTAAAAAAATATTTCTTTAATAAATAGAATTTTATTATAATTAAATACACTTTAATATTAAAATTTAATTATCTCCCATAAATCCACATAAGTCGATAATTTAAATTTTTAAAGCCGAATTTAAAAGAATATACGGTGAATAATCTAATAAAAAATTTAAAATTTAAATTATCTTTCTACAAATTTATTTTTATTCTCCAGTATATAACATGGTTCCCTTAATAAAGTGTACACAAATTCGAATGGAAACATGATCTCTATAGCATCAAATTTACATTTTGACAGATAAGAGAATGTACAATAACCATGTTGATTTTATCGATCTTACTAATTTATAATCTTTAGGGATTTCGAATTAACTATGCTTAATTCTATAATATGTTATCTAAGCGTGGATTGTACACTCAAATACGTAAGTTATCATTTACATTTGTGATTTTGTAAGCCTTGCAAGACTGTCTGATATCGCTTCTTTTTGTTTGCGTTGTCTTGGCGACATTACAACAACAAATATCTGTGTAACGAAACAACATTCGATTCTCAAGTAGTATTCATTGTCAGCGATTTTAAATGATAATTTTTTTTAATGTTTTAAACATTTTTTTCGTGTTAAAAATAAAGAGAAGAAAGGTAACTGTACTGTCTAAATTACAGCGTAATTTCTTCATTGTAAAATCATAAAATATACTTTAAAAATCTTTTAAAATTCTGATATATTTTATATTTAAAACTAGGAGAGATGCTTTGTAATAAAAGAATAATAATAAAATATTAAATGATTAAGAATTTGAACAATTTTAAATTCTGTAATGGTCTTTAAAATATTTCTGCTTTAAATTAATTAGTGTTTGTAGTTTTTATTGTCATTAAAATAATGTATTTTTTTTTTTTAGTTTTGAATAAATTTTAAATTAAAATTTCAGTAATTCAATTTTATTTTAAGTTGTAGAAATTTTGATTATTAACTAAAAATAACTACTTCATTTTATTGTCGTTCTTTATGCATTATAATTTTATTACTCGAAACGAATCACATATGTTTAATCGTTAATTTATTTACGCAAATTGTTAAAAAGAATTAGTCTTTAGAAACTTTTTAAATTTTCATAAATTTCTATAAGTAATTATTTTAAAAACGTATAATTATTGCAGTAAAATGTTTCGTGAAATTAAGGCAGATGGCATTTTTAAAAAAAAAAATATAATCAATAAATTAATTTTATTTAAAATGCTCTTAAAGTTTTCCTATTTTTAATTAAAAATTATAATAATGAAAAAATTTAAAATATTAATCGATTATATTATAGTAAAATATTTATTTTGACATTTATTAAATAATATCTAATATCTAGATTTTATTTTATTAGTTCTTAATTATATTCTTGCTATTATAAATTAAATAAACGATTTTAAAATAAATTATAAAAATAATTTTTATCGATAATCTTTATGTAGATTATATAAATGACAAGAGCTCTGGGAAAACTATTGATTATATTTCAGCAGATTAATATTTTACATATTATGAATTGTCTTAAGATAGTATGTTATCTTGAATATTCTTGAGATAATATTTTAAAATATATTCATACATAAATAGTACAAAAAGTTATAATTATGTCAATGATTAATGATCATAAATGTAAAACTCGTTTAGCATTTATGAACATAATAAAATGAGTTTTAGTATGTTGATCTTTTTAATTTAAGGCAAGTTACAATTTATCATTTAGAAAGATGATTTTAATTCTATAAAATATGTTAACTTTGTCATAAATTTGACTACTATTTATATAATTTTTGCATTTTTTTATTATTTTTAAAACATGAAAATTTTCATTCACGAAAGTTTTTTTTTATTAAATTTTATTATAATTACACTGCTTTTTATTGTTTTTTTTAACGCTTTGCTTTAAAATTCTTTATAAAAATACTTAAAGATCAAGTAGATATTTAAGGAATATCTTATAACAGTACAAGTTTATAAATGGCTTCATTAAATCCAACATATGTAGCTGTTGTTTTAACAACAAACGTATCGATTCAGAACGAAAACGGTTTAAGATTATATTGTAAGTTTAATTTAATTGATTTACAGCGCAATAGAAAATTACCTGATTCGAGAAAAGTAAATTAAATAGGATCACTATTTCATTAATGATTTGCCAATCCTTAACTTTAATTTTGAAAATTCTATTAAAAAAAATTGTTGCGCCACAGGACAGATTTCTCCGCTAATCTCTCCTCTTTCGGTGACTTGACATCGATGACAGATGCGGAGATTAAGGTAATTCTACACCAATGTTAAAACTGCAATAAAAATATTTACTCGTCTTGAGGATAAATTAAAGATTTATATATAGGCCTATATACAATGAGAATATATAAAACGTAAATTAAAAAAATGTCATTTCTACTTACATTATAAAAGAATAATCAATTATATCGTTTCATACTGCAATATTTCGTAGTAACAGGAATGAATTTTTAATATATATCTACAATAATAATCAAAATAAAAATAAAATTATTGTTAAATATAATATTTTAATAAATATCTACTCTTAAATTTGTTATATATCCTTACTATAAAAAATAACTCGTATGAATTATTATATCCAATAAATAAAAATAAATATTAAACTTTCAAATTTCATTATTGAAAATCTTTTTTCTATTTCTGCTTTTCAAAAACACATATCTATAATGTACTGCTATTAATACTTGATGCATTTCAAAGAGAATATTTTATTCTATGATCATCCCGAGAGAATGTTGAAATCAAAAATTGAATATTAGTACAGAATAAAAAAATGTGCAAAATAATATTGTTAAAATTTTCCTATGAATAGAAAGAATTTCTATGATATATCCATTATGAATTCTTTATTATACTTGAATTGGTTATTCTATTATCAAAAATGATAGCAAAAATTTATTTTATATGATATTTCCGGTTTGTTATTGTTCTGTTTTATAATAAAAAGTCGTAGAAAGAAAATGAATACACGAACGCTTTAACGATCTTTGTAAAGTGTTGAAGATTATGAGAAAACTTGATCGATTTTTCCTGTTTTATTTCAAAATTCTATGAAAAATAAACATAAATCAAGACTGTTGAAACCATCATTTTTATAAATTTTGGTAGTAGATATTGTAAAAAAATTACTATATTTTTCGTTCGCGATCATATATAAAAGAAGATAAAAATTTATTGAGAGAAATTATTTAAAATTTGCAATTTTTCATAAAACGCATTTTTCTCTGTAAATAATTTATTTCGATATTATGTTACTTGTGAGAATATATATATAAGTGAGGGAAAGATGTCATTATAATCAAAACTCACTCATTAGCCAATAGAGGTCAGCGCAACTCATTTGCAATTATTGCTGCTTATATTTTTAATGTAAGAGATAAATTTCTTTTGGTTCATCATCATTCATATGACGGATCTGCGGATTTATTCTCATTATTCCTATTGAGTAGACAAGTTATAATATTTCTCTTCCTGATAGTAAAGAGTGTTGATCCTGTATTTGATGTAAGCCGATATTTTTACATATTAAAAAGAACTGCGTGGCTAACAAAGGGTGCATAGGCGGTATTTAAAAAGAGCCAGTTTGTGGAGTAGACCACAGTGGTATATTTTTCTGACTTTTGGGGTAAGATACTACATTGTATTTGGTGTAAATGTGATTGGATTGAATGCATCGTATGTAAAAACTAGAAAGGCGGAGATTACTATAGACAGTGCGTGTAAAGATATTTATATTCTGTGTTTCCTGAAGTTTACGGAAAATGTAATAAATGTAAAGCTAGAAAGTTTAATAAAACGTTGTAAAATATGCTTACGATAATGTCTTGAAGTTGTGGGCTTGGCATTAATTAATGGCCAACATGCAACACTGAAAATATTCTTTATTCTTGACTACTTCATTTTCCATACAACTGGCGTCTTATCCCTATGTTCGGGAAAAATACCACTTACGAAAGCTAGGAAATTTCAGTTGCTTACTACTTTATCAATGAAAATGTGGTGCTTTTCAACAAAGCACTGTTAAACAAATGTCTTACAATTATCCCGTAGAATTTCCGAAGGTTAATAGCGGATAGTTTCCCGCATATTACAACTCATTCTTTAGTTGTGTCATCATCCATTGGCTTACCTTATAATAAATTTAAAGAAAATTTAGAGGTAGCATGTTAAAAATATGTTTTTATTAAACCATTAAAAATTATATAAAAATTTTCAATACTTTAGTTTAAAAAGAGTGTTTTAAAATAATGTTTTAAACTAGCTTTTAATAAAATAACCTAAATATAATTTAAAATATTCTAAAAATAGCTTTTATAGTCCGTTTATCAATAATAATTTTCTATACAAAATCTTTTATAAAATTTAATTATTTTCTTTAAAATAATTAATTTCGACCATAAAGAATTTAATGAAAATTTCCTAAATATAATTGAAATTATAATTAGAGTTAATGAATATAATTAAAGATAATTTAAATTTTAATGCCTTTAGGTTCTATTTTAATTTAGAAAAGCAGCAACTAAGGATAAATAGACGGATTACAATTTTAATATTCATTTTCTAAAATATTATATGAATATTAATGAATATATAATGTATGTATGGGTATGACCATAAATATTTGATACATACAACAATGAATAATTAGTAACCAGGTGTGGCCAGTTGCCAAAAATATATATAAAAAATAAAATTATTTTAAAATGATTCTTATACAAAGTTATTTGAGAGATTAAATAGAATGCTATTATCTAATCAAATTCTTAAAAAAGATTTGTAATAATGTCGTACGTTTAATGTGGCATTCATCCAAGAAATTTCGAG